AGAGAGAGAGAGAGAGAGAGAGAGAGAGAGAGAGAGAGAGGCATTTCTCCCAGGATAGGTAACAAGTGCGAGCTGGAAATTCCACTTTTTATCCCCATTCCTTACGAATTCAAAGAACAGCCAAAGCACAAGAAAGCTCATCCAAAACCCTGAAGAGACATCCCATCATCTCCCATTTTATTATATTTGGCCTGAATCTTCACAGAAGCTCGGATTTCCTTTGACTTCTGTTTATAAGTTATCAACAGCTAAGGCGCACTTGCTGCAGGGTTCCATCAGAAGAAAGGAATTCTGGAAAGGAAAGATCCTCAAATGCTTCTTAGACTCTCCAAATTAGCTTAGATTCTTGAGCTGACTTCCCTCCTTCTGAAACCTTCTGAAGAACAGAAAGTCTACTCAGACTTCAGCAGGAGATTTAATCAATGCTTTCCATAAGCAAATGTGATACTAGTTTATTTTGATCATGTTTAACCAGCCAGGGCTTTTGCTTGTCCCAAACATCAGATTCCTTTGAAATGAAAGGAATAATTTTCACTGTGCAACAACTCAGGCCGTGTTCAGCTGCTGTTGATGCTGGCGACAAGAAAGTTGTTTGGAAGATTTTTTTTTCTTACACAAATAGAATCATCTGAAGTTTTATTTCTTCTTCCAAACAAGTTAGTGTGAAAGGCCAGTCAACAGTCTGTCAGCATTAGAGAGTGAGAGAAAAAGGCCTTCCTAGAGGAGGAAGGGAATTTTATTTTAGAAAAATTAATATTTAACCTACATTTAAATCAAACAGGACTGCCACATTCCAAGACTCTCCCTTTCTTTCCAGCTTTCTTAGTAGCTCCGTCCCTGTGCTTAACTTCATTCTTGATGGAGCCTTAAAATTCGAAACTAAACAAATCATGGACACATTCCACCTCTGTGCTCATGTCATGGACACGTTCGAATTCCTTTCCTTGGGAGACTCATATTTTGTTAAACAACAAAATGAGAAAAGGATAAATAAATAATGCTAATTATTCCCAAGGTAATATAAGCGGCTGAAAGCATGATGCCCATGGAAATGCAGTCTGACTATCATACCAGACTGTTTTGTCATTTCACAAGCACTGTCACTTAACTTTCAAGAGTCCCTTGAGATTTTTTTCCTTTTTGTCTATTTGCCATAAGCTACAGTTACCTGGGAAAACTAAAATTGTGAAGTTGCTTCCATTAGATTGGCCTGTGGGGGTATATATCTGTAGAGCATTTTATTAATTAATGATTGAGGTAGGAGAGTTTAGCTCACTGTAGGTGACACCATACCGGAATTGGTCCTGGGTTATGTAAGAAAGCAAACTGAGCAAGTCATGAAGAGCAAGCTAATAAGTAGCACTCCTCCATTCCCCCATGGTTTCTAGTTTAGTTCGGATGGGGTGTTACCAAGATCAGCAACATTAGTCTATAATGTTTGAGGGAATTCATGATTACCCTCCAGAGTGTGACTGTAAGAGCCCACATACTTCAGTCATAAAAAGTGATAAAATCAAGCTGGTACAAATCTCTAAATATGACTGTATAACCTGGAGAAAGTGCAGAAATTAAGGAAGTATAAAAGGGCAGGGTGAGGCAGCTATAGAGAGAGAAGTCATGGGTGCTATGAAAAGGTAAATGGGAAATATGCAAGAGGGACTTTAAGTGGGGAAGGAGAGGGAAGATGATATAGAGGAAGAAAAAGGAAAGACAAATAACCTTGAGAGCAACATCTCTGTCACTGGACTCCTGCATTTCGCCTGCTAGTATAGGATAAGTGTGGCCCACTATGTTTTTCTGATCATGTTAGAATCATCCCTGAAGCACTGGCCTGCCCACTTCCAGCAGGGCTGCCGGCTGATGCTGTCCTGGGTCTGTCT